AAAAAAAAAAAAAAAAAAAAAGTGATAAAGTCTACATTTATTAACCTAAAAAATGCTCACAAGACTGTTAATTGCAAATATAATTGCATTTGTTTGTGCACGTGGGTGTTTTTGTTCTGTGTAATTCAGGGACTGGTTAGACCATGTGTATGTACTCACACCCATATGCATGTACGCATGTCTCTGTCTCAGAGAGCACGTATCCGAATGTTAGCAGGGCTACCTATTCATAGTAGGAAGCTGGGGGATTCTGTGTGGGGAGGGTTGTGAAGAACTAGTGTAGGTGCTTATCTGTATTTTCTAATTTTCCTACAAGGATTTTCAATTCCTCACGTGTTTAAAAGTTATAAAAAGTGCTTTGTGCACTGTACATTTTAACAGTTGTAACTGTAATAGCTGTCCTGAGCACACAAACCAAATGGGCTAGGGGCAGGCAGGCAAGGCCCTGTGGGTCTGGGCTCAGTGACAGGCCTGCCATCATACTGGGGCTCTCCATGGAGCCTTTCTGTCCCTGGTCTCCTGAGGCCTTTGTGTTCAGAGGTGGTCAGAATGAATGTTTTCGCTGAACTTGTTCAACAGCCCAAGAACAGGGTAGAGGTCTCTGCATGGACTGTGTGCCTAACTTGGGGTGCCAGCTCCTGACTGGCCCTGATCCTGCTCCTTGTTGCCACAACCACAGGGATCCCTGTCCACTTTGTTTTCCTTTCTTCACTAGCAGCTCACCAAAGTGTCCCCTCCCACCACTGTGCAGCTAATGGGCACAGGCGCGGCCGCCGTCCCTCAGCACCAGGGTCACACTGGACATTAGGCCTGAAGGGCACCAAGGCTCTTGGAGAGCAGGCCCTTGCCCCAGGGCAGGGGCCTTTGAATCTCCATTGCTTCCCTGAGCCTGGGCAGAGGGATGGCAAGCTTTAACAGAGAAGTTGAGATGAATTTGGAAAGACAAAACAGGACAAAATGATTCCATTTTTACAAAATGCACTTATCAAGAGGCAGGAGCTCACATGTCACTTTGTGCATTATTGTGAGAAGGTCAAACGGCAGAAACATACAGAAAGGATAAGAGAATTGAACACTTTAAATAATTTGGTGAGAGGACAAATGATACAGAACATTCAGTAGAAGTGACCGTTGGAAACGAGACTTTAACAGCATTGGTGACTACATCGAAGGAGACGGGAAACCAGGTTTCTTATCCTTTCTTTTGGTATGTGAGGAAGGGGGCTGCCCAGCAGTGCCTGAAACAAGGCATCGATCAACAGTAGACACTTTTAGTTCCAGGTTTCATTCTGCAAACACGCCTGCTGCCTCAGAATCAGAACATCATTAGGATGAGGTTGCCAGGGCACACTGACAGCTGTCACAATAAAACACTCATTTGACACTTTGCTCATAAGAGCAAATTGTGTCGACTGCTAGAGAAGCAGCAGAGCAGACCAGTGCAACCTGCAGACGCGTTGCTTCACTCAAGTTTGGAAATGTACAGATATTGATATATACACAACAGCAACAGCAGATGCCTGCTGAGAAAGCACTGGCCCTAAGTCACACCCACAGCCAGGCAGGTGGCCAAGGGGACACCGCATGTCACAGCTGCATCCTAGCTTCCCATTTAGCTGCCTGACCCCTGGCTTGCCCACCAGTCTAACAGTTTTCCCAGGAGTCCTGCTTAGAAAGTCCTTCTAGCTCTTCCCCCCGAACCGTATGTTACAAGAGAACCCTGTCTGAATTTGATAGTGCCAATGGTTTGACTGCTTTGTCAAACTCGAGTGTGACGGCTGGCGTCAAGGGGCTCATGCAGGGTAGGCCCCGTGGGCAGACGCGCAGGGTACCAGCTCATCTGCAGTTTACACGGGCCAGGACAGGCGGGGCGCGCGGTCTGGCTACAGCACTCACCTGCGCATGCACTCCAGGGCCTGCGTGAAGACCTGTGGGGCCATGCCGTGCTCATGCTGCAGGATCAGGCACTGCTCCAGTGTCACTGACATGGCCGTACGGTCCTTGGCGCTCTTGCAGCTGGTGAACCGGACCCCATTAAGGCGACGGCAGATCTGCCAACAGAAACATGGGTCATACTTAGGAGGCAAGGCTCCCCAGAAAGGCAGCACCCTTGACACACAGGAGAGGCTCCCAACTGGCCCAGCAAGGGCACAAACAGGAACTCAACACCCAGGCCTGGCCAGACACTTCAACTGTGTTCCCCAACTCCATGCCCTGCCAGAGCTGGTAACAGAAACCAAGTCACTTACAGACACCAGCCCTTTTGGGGGCCTGCTGTCATCCCTGCCACCCCTTATGTGGCCTGCCTTCTCCCACAGGACACTCTCATAGTCTGCTGTCCCCTTGCAAACCATGCCTGGACCCTCTTGTCATGTTCAGCTCTTCACTGCTGATCCCTGAGGGAAAGAGGGTGACAAAGATGACCCACTCGGGGCCGGGCACGGTGGCTCGCGCCTGTAATCCCAGCACTTATGGAGGCCGAGGCGGGTGGATCACAAGGTCAGGAGCTCGAGACCAGCCTGGCCAAAAATGTTGAAACACCATCTCTACTAAAAATACAAAAATTAGCTGGGTGCAGTGGCATGCGCCTGTAATCCCAGCTACTCAGGAGGCTGAGGCAGGAGAATCACTTGAACCTGGGAGGCGGAGGTTGCAGTGAGCCGAGATTGTGTCATTGTACTCCAGCCTGGGTGACAGAGTGAGACTCTGCCTGAAAAAAAAAAAAAAAGATGACCCACTCGGGAAGCCAGAACCACTCTCAGGATGCCCACAGTCCCAGGCCAGGTCTCCCTGAAAGGCAGGGGACAGACCTACTATCTCTACTCTCCTTCACATCCACAGACATGAGCAGGTCAGAAGTTCCACTGCCCTTTGGCCACTTCCTGAGCACCAGACCCTCCAGGCCTCCTCCCGCCATCCTCTCCTCACTGCAGAGTTAATACCAGCACAATTCCCTCCTCACAGCTGAATGGCTCACAGAGTAGGGGACTGGCAAAAGGCCACTTGAGTGCACCTCCTCTCCCCTTGGGGAGATTTCAGGGCATTTTCTCTGCACCACTAGATACAATCCCAAGCACACAGTCACCAAATCCAGTAAGCTCTGAAATGAAATAATTTTTTTTTATTGTAAATTTTGTGGCAGTCTCATTTTGCAGCACAACCAGACCTGAGCTGATATGAGACCACTTATAATCTTTACTTTTTATGTAAATATTCACACTTTTCAGTGTGGCAATAACATGAGTTTGATTGTTGAGTGCTGCCCCAGGCTTCCTGGGGATGTTAAATCCTATATGTATACCATGGTACACATATGCGATGTGCACCATATTACTTTTTTTTTTTTTTTTTTTGAGACACAGTTTCGCTCTTGTTACCCAGGCTGGAGTGCAATGGCGCGATCTCGGCTC